GTTCATCTTCCTTAGAGTAGGAAGAGTTAAACTTTCCATCAGACCCACCCAGATGTTCTACACAGAGGGCTGGCTATACATGCCATGCCCAAGACTAAACCTACCTATTTTCTGTCCTCATCAGGGAAGAACAATCAGTATAACTTCAAATTATTCAGCTAGCATCTTAAACAATCAAGTCCATTATTTGTCTATACACTGGCCCAATGGTAGGCCACTGCTGACCACTAAACATTAGTGCTTCTATTTCAGAACCATTTCCGTATTTTACAAATCTTGTAGTTAGCTCTTAGTAGAAAATCAACACTTTCATGTAAAAGATACTTCTGATTGGGTATAAAACATGACTTACATGAATTCACTTTTTACTAGCAAAATGAATAAACAGAAGTATAAATCAGGGATTTGCTAACTGTCCTGCTAAGCACCTACAGATGTTAGACTGAAATTTATTTTTAGCTGTTATATACCTGAAACATATATATACTCAAAGTAATAACCTATTTTTCTGGTTGTCATATTTTAGACCATCTGAACATTCTGCCAACACATCTAAGAACTCAAAAGTGATTCACGAGAAAGTTTCCAGACCTTCTGACATTTACTTCCTTTCTTGACCTAGCAAACTTCTACTCATCCTAGCTTAAATGTCACCTCTCCTGAGGGGCATCTCCTAATGCACCCCCAGAACAAACCCTCCTGTCTCGGAGTTGTATAGTATGCACCCTACAATAAAATAGTTATTCACTTCTGTGTCCATATCTTTTCCAAGGCTATGGATCATTTGGGGGCAGGTCAAGGGGGATGTCCTCACTTCAGTCATTGCAACTCCCAGCACCTCAATCCACTGATGGCCCCCACTAGCTGGCTCCAGCCAGTCTGGCATTTGGTGACTCAGATATCACGGCTGTATTTTTACCTGTCATACCACCAGTGTGGCCAGCCCTTGGCTGATAGTCAAACTGGGAGCCCAAACATTGGGGAGAGTGTTTGATAGCTACACAGCCTCCTGAGTACCAACACATATTGGCCCAGGATGTGGGACTGTACTTCTGCCTTCCTACGCTGACTCACAGACCCAGTTTGCAGTTGGCCTAGGTACCTTGCCTAGAAGTCCAGTTCTCTCTAGGCTTGGAGGCTATTCTGACCATGGTCTAGACGTTCAACTTGGGCTAATATACAGTGGGTGCTTTTAATAAGTATCTGCTGAATGAACGAACGTAAGCCCATACATTTTACTTCATTAAAGAGGGGTCGGAGTACTGTCTCTCTTTTCAGATGAGTGTGTTTGATCTTACACATACTACTTAGGTATCTGATTTCATTTGTCACTTTTAGTTTTGCTAGGGTCACTACCAGGAGTGCAAAGACTGAAGACAGATGGTTAGATTGCTGTGGCAGCAGGTAGTCACTGACAAGAATGGGGAGTGACCATAGAAAACGGGTAATCACAAGAGAGAACAGAGGAAAAACACCAAGCAGAGCAGCATAGCCATGTAGGACCATTTAGCCTGGGAGCAAATGGCTCTATACACCTCAAGAGGCCTAATCCCATCACTGAGTGTCAAGGCCAAACACAAAGGCAAAATGGTTGGTAAAGTCAATAAAAGAACAAGGCAAGCACCATACAATTCTATAGCTCTGGAGGGCATTGATACATCCAAGTACCATGCTCAATGACCTGAGTCATCAAGGAAAGGTTAAATGATATTTAGTACACTCTGTCAACAGGCTGCCAAGAGCAAATACATTTTAGAAACATTTCTTTCTAAAAATGCAAATTTTCTCATTGATGTTAGAGCTTCCAGTAGTAAATTGCAGTTATCGAGACAATTAGGGCCACCTTATTATCCAAAGAAATCAGATGGCTAAAGCATCACGGCACACAGACACACATCACTTACAACAGACCAGGTACTCAGGGGCTTAGAGATGGCCTGATTAAAACCTGAGGGTTTTAAAGTAAGTTCTTTTAAGAGAAGCAACTCTAAGTCATCAGATGGTATCTTTAAGACATCACTCATATTCTGAGTTAGCTAGCTCCAAGCCAGATTAAACTCCACCCAACAAAATGAAACTGGATTGCCCAGATTTCTAATTGGAGCTTGATTCTCCGGTTACCTTGGCTACCCTTCTAGTTCCTATTCTGTGGTCCAAGATTCATGTTCATGATTCTTACTCCTCCATTTAACTACTGGTGTCATCTCTTTGGACACCTGGTGTCTGACTCTGGCTTTGTCCCACGATGCCACCTCCTGACTCCCAGACTGGCTCTGACATTCACTTCTGTTGACTCCAGGGCTGGCTCCTGCCCACTTGGTCTTGTTTTACTACTTCTTTATGCTTTGCCAGGCTATGCCAGGAGGTCAAGCTGCATCCACATAATGAAGTATGTTACACTGGGCTTTGCTTGGCTATTTCGTATATGACTCCAAATACACTGATCTTGTTTGAATTAGGCTCCCTTAAAGGTGGAACTTTTTGATCTGACTTTTCTCTAACATAAATGGTATGCACTACCATTGAATATCCTTTTCACAATGGAATATATCTCATGCCCAAGGAGTAAAATGGCTCAAATCCTGACTGGTTATATTAACTCAGGAATAAAAGCCCTAAAAGTCAGATGCAAATGAAGATAGTTAATTGCCATTTAAGATCTAAAAGGGCAGTCTTAGTCCTAAAAAGCCATTACAAAAGAGGTTCTCACACTTTTAAAAAAAATATATCTTTATTGATTTCAGAGAGAGGAAAGGAAGGGAAGAGAGAGAGATAGAAACATCAATAATGAGAGAGTCATTGATTGGCTGCCTAGACTGCAACCCGGGCATGTGCCCTGACCAGGAATCAAACCCCGATCTCCTGGATCCTAGGTCGATGCTCAACTGCTGAGTCACACCTGGCTGGGCGGTTCTCACACTTTAATGTGCAAAGAGTTACTTAGGAAGCTAGTAAAGATGTAGAATCCTGGGCTCCATCTCTAAAATGTCTAATTCAGTGATCTGGGTGCAGGAATCTGCATTTTTAACAAGAGCCTGAGGTATACCTAATGCAGTTAGCCCTTGGACTACCGTTTAATAAACACTGAATCACAGCAATAAGAAATCTGAAAACATGGTACAAGCACAGTAATTAAAGGACCCCACCAATTCTCTCTCTCATAGAAGCTATGATGCACCTTGCCTAAAGGTCATCTGGCCAATTCTTTCCTAACACTTATTACTAAACATCAGCTCAGTGCCAAGGCCAACTTATGTTTGTTCTGGTGGAGACAATGTAAAATTTCCAAGTTTCCATAGAGAAGATATTTTAATATGTTTTTAGAGCAAGTGGGAATAGGTGTCTAACTTATATTTTTATACAGGAGGAAATAAAGAAACACATACGATTTAAGTTACATGCACTTGTGCTTCCTCACAGAGACCTTCCCTCCTTAGACAGAACACCTGCCTATGATAGTTTCAAGAGTCTCAGGATTTTGCCCAAATTGAAAAAGTAAAATATTTTAAATTTAGTATCAATCACTACTACTTTAAATAAGGAATGAAAATATCCATTTGATCCAGAAAACCTTCCAATTAGCCCTCCAGCAACACATACATAATTGGTGAGGAGCATCTGTACCTGACCGGTCTGATGCCAGGAGCCTGGCGGAACAAGAACAGTGGAGCCCAGGAAGAGTGGCCGGCTGTGCATTTGACCGGACAGGCCAGGTTTCCCTGGGCACATCCCCAAAGAGTCCTGGAGGGGAACCTCAGGAAAATCATTTGGGAGGATTCCGATGGGGATATCTTTTGGAATATGCTTTTGGAATCTAAGATGACATAAGATACTGATGAGCTATTAGATCTAGGAGGTCTGTTTGATATTTGAGATAATGGGGGCTCCATTTGTTTCAGGACGATGCCTTCATTTTTGCACCAACATGGTTTATGGCTTGCAGGGGATATATGGACCGACTGATGCAACCATTAAGGATGTTAGAGCCTCATTCTTACTGTTATTGGGATATGTGCACGCGTTTGTTTTTTTCCTAGGAGGATCTTTATTTTTTCTCCCAAATCTCATAACTGGTTATGCAGATGTTTAATTGAGAGGAATAATTATGAATTACGACTTGTTTTTTTTTTCCTTTCAAACTTTCCTATCCGACTCATTTATCGCCTTCACTACAAGTGCTTTAAATATTGTAAAATTAAAGTTAAAAAAATAAACATTGCGAGTAGGTAAGGCCAAGTCTAGAAAAACTCAGTTTAAAAAAAATATTAATGTTTCTTAATTGAGAGCCTGTGTACTGCAAGACCGCTAATTGACAGAAAAAAAGGAATTTAAGGTCAGAATAAAAAGTAGACAAAGTTGACTGAGAAAGAAATACAGGCAGATTAAGTCCATGGAGGCAAAGGGACAGTGGAACTCCATGGCTAAGGATGGCCAGAGGCAGGATGACTTAAAATGTGAGAATACTGGTTAAAGGCACAAGAAGTTAGGACTGTATTCTGAGGAAAATGCCTAATTAGGAAATTAAAGCAGAATTGTTGACCTAGAGCTTCTAAACACTTTCTATCACTCTGGTGTGCTTTGGGTAAATAAAGCAAGGAAGACAAATTTCATCCGGCTTCTGTTTGCTGTTCAACTCTGACCCTTGCCTACTGAATGACTTCAAATATCTGTTACGGACAAAAATGATACCACTTTAATTTCCGGCTCCATCCCCATCTGGCCAGGGAGAGGGTAAATTAATATGATCATGTTGTGTCTTTAGGGCTCCTGATACCCCCGAGGATGAGCCTGTGGGACAGTCTGTTTTGGCAGCAATTCTCAGCCAGACTCAGAAGAGCAGGATTCAGGACAAGGCCAGTTCACGTAACACAGCTCAGAGCCATACAACACAACTTGCTCTGAGGATGTTGGGCATTGTGCTTCATTAGGAAACAAAATATAAGCTTTCCACACCATTAGGAATGACTTTAGGAGTGAAAGCACATAAGACGATGCCTCACCTCATCAACAATGCACTGCAGAAGCTGGAGAGGCTGCAATGGGGAAGAAGAGAGGAAAAAGTATTAGCCTCTATGCAATATCTTTACAGTGGAGTGGAAAGAAAAAATCATTAATGCAATAAAATATAGCAAGATTAATCAACAACAGCAAACTCTTATAAAAACATTGATGCTCAGGATGTTCTATTATTTTCTAATGGTACCTAATCTAATACAGGCAGTTAAAGGTTTGCATTTTCTTCAAAATGCAATTTGCTAAGTTTAAAACAAGGCATTCAAGCATGCAAAGAGAGCAGCCATCAGGAAAAAGAAAAGTGAATTTTTTTCTGAACTCATAAAGCTTACCATTAAAGATCCCTGGTTTTTCTGAATCTGAAAAAAGGCAATATGTAATTAGCATGTCATAATCAAAATGACTCACTTGGACACATTATGATCACTGAGAGAAAATTATTGCATTGCTGGTGGCAATTTGTGGGCATGTGTTAACACAATTTACATAATGAAAATACACAAATGTTAATAGCTCGCTTCTCATTTATAGGCGAAAGTCAGCAGAATGTTAATTTCACACAACACTTTTTAGTACCCTCCAGGTTGTATTAGAATAGGGAGGAAAACCATAATCCATTTCAAAAGGCTGTTTACGATTCAGATATAAATAATGTTTTATATTGCTAGATTGTGAACACTGGGCTTAATGTTGCAATCATTGCTAATGTTATGAAGCTCACTCTTTTTAAATTAAAAACCGATTTATTTAAAATTGAAATTAAATCATAGTCAGAAATTAGAATTTTGGATTCCTGCCAGTGTTTGCTCACAATCCCCTATTTTGTGAAGAAAACTTTAATTATATGGTTGAAGTATTTGTCTCTAACTCAGGAGTGGGATGAAGACTCCACCTTTTCCAAAGTTCCTTCAGCCTGTTTCTAGGGCAGCAATGCTCTCTGGGAAAATCAAATCCATGCAAGTTTTATACTGTTTTTCAGGGGATAAAGGAGAGTGAAGTAAGAAATGCCTGGTCCCAATCAACATTCTAAAGGCAAGCTGCTCACACATCTAACACTGATAACCATCTCTCTTAGAAAGTTACTAAAATATGACACCAGATAAATAAAACATCCACTGTAATTAAAGTATTAAAACCTTCAATGCCCCCCCTGATGCCTGCCATTATTATAAACTCAATGAAAATGGAGTCCCAGGTACTAAATTTCCTAAGAAGGAAAATTTCAGAAATGAAATACAACTGATGGGTCAGTTGGTTGCTGGCATAACTGAGATGCAACCAGTTGGTAAAATATAGGAAAACCAGTAATAGGCCCCCATATATTTTTTTTAAATCCTCACCTGAGGATACGTTTATTGATTTTAGAGAGAGAAAGGGAGGGAAGGAGAGAGGAAGAGAAAGAGAAACATTGATTGGTTGCCTCTCGTACTTGACAGAACCTGAGGCCTAGGTATGTGCCCTGACCAGAAATTGAACCTGAGACCATTCAGTGTATGGGAAATGCTCCAACCATCTGAGCCACACAGGCCAGGCCCCCCACTTTATGTTTTCAATGGTGCTTTTAAAAGTTCTTTCACATACACATTCTCATTTGATCTGCACAGCCACCCTGAGGTTGGCAGGGACGATCAATCATCTCTGTTCTATGATGGGAAAACTGGGCCTCCAAAAGACGGGGCTGTCGGAACAGACTATGGTTGTGCCGGGTCTTCTCCAATGTCCTCTCCAGCATCTGCATTATATCTGTCTACAGTCACAGTACTGCTGAAAAACAATTAGATTTGCATATATACTGGGCATGGTAAAGTTGATAAATTATCGATTTTGGCCTGTGGGTTCTTTTCAACTAGGCTGTAAGCTTCTCAAGGGCAGAAGCTGTGTGCTTTCACTTCTTTTGCATCTATATGGCTGATCAGCAGACCCTTCCACCTAGTGCTTGAGTGTGTTAAAGAGTGCTTTTCCGTGTATTATCTCAACTGAATATGGGGCCCACCATCACTACTCTTGGCTCCTTATCACTCCCTCCCTCTGACTTCCAGGAACCTCTGCCCCAAGCTAACTGGCTTTTAGTCTACTTAAAAAAAATTAAAACTTTTTTTTCANTCTCAACTGAATATGGGGCCCACCATCACTACTCTTGGCTCCTTATCACTATCACTCCCTCCCTCTGACTTCCAGGAACCTCTGCCCCAGGCTAACTGGCTTTTAGTCTACTTAAAAAAAATTAAAACTTTTTTTTCAATTACAGTTGACAGTCAATATTATATTAGTTGCAGGTGTAGTCTTAGTCTGCTTAATCTTGTCTTAGTTACCGCTCCTTGATCCTCTAGTCAATGAGAACTTCTGGATATGGCTCTGGAGGTAAAGATTTGTATTAAAAAGCAAGACAGAGCTGTTAACTACCACCCTGGAGTGGTTAAGGGTTTTAGTAACAAGGCACACCACCTTTAAAAAATACTAAAAAGCCCTGGTAACTGTGCTTTTATATATTTTTAAATGCACGTGGATACACCACCCTGCCCCCATTCTTGGCAAGATATATCTACTTCAACGGGAGAGTTACTTGTAACAAACAAAGAATTAGAAATCCATTTTGACCTCAAAGAGAATGTTTTTCACAAATTTCCAACAGTCATGGGAATTACAACATTCTCTGAGGAAAACATGTGGGAAACATTCTGAGTGAGATGTTTCGAATGAATCAGGAACGGCTCGTGAGACACTGTTCCCAGTAATGTGAGTGGTAGCAACCAAATGAGTCGAAGGGAAGACATTTCCTTATGAACTGAGATCTTGGAGAAGGTCTCCTCCACCTAGCCTTATTTTGTGGGTTTAATGCATGCTTCAAGACAACTTAAAACTGTACTATTTTAATGCTGGCTCTTTACTACAAGAAAGGGAGAAACAGAAACATCAAAGTCCCTTTTTATAACTATAATGTTTTGCCCAGATTTTTAAAGCGGGATGTTGTTACCAGGTTTTATTACATGGTTTTGATAGTAACATATTATATGAAGTCATCTTCATAAATTTTGTATTAAGGTAGCAGTGCTAGTACCTGAAATTGATTCCAAATGCTTAAGATACTCAATTACTTTTTAACACTGTTACACAATGTGGTGACTTATATCTTCTATTTCACAAGAATTTGATGATGCAACATCATTGTAATTGATTCATTTTCTCAATTAAATAAAGCTACTGTGCTTTTCTTTATATGAATGCCACATAGACCACAGAGTTAGATATATTATCTCCTTTCTCTGTCTCAGATATATTGCCTTAAAGGCTATCTTCTGTTCCTCTGTTAATTCCACTAGAAAATTTAATGCCACAGTCATATTTTTCAAATTCTGATCTGCCATGTACTCGACTGTATTTATATTAGGCATATTTTTCACTGCTAAACTCTTTGTTGTTTACCTTTTTCAAGATCACATTACAGTTCAGGCGCAGCAACCATAAAACAGATCCAAACAGTCAACTTCCAGTCACTGCCTCTGCTTTTGCACACAGTTCATGAGAAAGTGAAGCCCCCGGTTTAACAGCACATTAAAAGTGGTGCTAAGGGTACTCAGTATAAAACGTTAGTTTTGTGAACGTCTCTCTTTATTCTGGGTCTGCCTCCCAAATGCTTAGCTATGAGAGCAGAGTTCAGAGGATCACAATAATATTGTAGGGCTGATGTACTGCTGGCACCTCACAACATATGAAATGCTGTTTATAACTAACTTGTCCAAGTCCACATTCTTGCTTGTACACTTTGTTTGTGTTTTCTATTTCTAACTAGTACTTTGGGACAATGAACAGAACAGTAATTGCTAATCATACCTTTTCCTAATCAATCTTTAGAACTAGTAGCATTTTGATACACTAATTAGATGAACCCCTTCCCTCTTCCAGGAACAGCTTTTTTCTTTTGCCAGCCCTTAGATCCAAGATTTTAAGCTACACTAATAAGGGTTAGTTATGTCTTATTCTGATGTAAGACAGATCCTATGGGTTTAAACATGGAAGAATGACTTCATAACAGTTAGGCAATGTATCAGTTAGGTATTAGGATGTTACTGCAGTAACATTTACCATATATTTCCTTGCAAGGACCATATAGTTGGCAATTAGAAAACATGACTTAAGAGTTTGGAAAAAATGAGCCTGGAAAGGAAATTGCCAATGCAAAAGTTCGCTTGTGGGGCTTTGACTCGGGCTTAAAAGCATCATTGGAGGTCTCACATTATGCTTCTGTATCTGTAGAGGTACTTTTTACAGACAGCGGTAAAACTGATGTAGCTACCAGCCCTTTTACAATATATTCAGAAGCACAATCAGAAAACTAAAGTGAATCCACCTACGTAACTCAGAGAAGACACCAGCTATAGCTTTCATTTTCTCTTTTACTCTCTGAAATTATGGCTTGCCCTGCAAGCTTTTGTCTGAGAGATTTATGTGTGACCTAGGTCAGATTTTCCAATATCAGCTGACAAATTTTCTCTTTACATATTTACTGCTTTTCAAGCTTGTGTTATTTTTCTCTTATATAGAAAAAAAATGTATAAAATTAAATCATATGTTTGGAATTTTTAAAGAATGTCATTTTTATTTGTTATACTGACACCACATTCTAGATTTCAGTGCTGAACTCTTCTTTACTCTTTTTGTAACTTCAAATTTAAAGAACTGTAGCTATTTTGCAAAGACTCTCCTTTCAAATCAGATGCATTAAGCTAAATATAAAAAGAGATTAAAGTAAACTGAGATTTCCATATTCTAAGTGAGAAGAATGACCTAAAGAAGGTTTGAAATGGAAGGGACCTCAGCGATAATCTAGTTCAACCTACTCATTTTGCTGTTAGGGAAACTGAGGCTCAGGGGGGAGCAGTACCCAGGGTCGCAGGTAGAACCTGGCCTGAAACTGACTGCTGACTCAAGGCTGCCCAGTGTGGGTAAAATGCATAAACTTTGGAGTAGGAAAGATCCCTGGAATTCCAGTCAGGTCCCTGTGGCCTTAGAAGCTCCCTTCCCTCACGGGGCTCAGGGCTCTTGTCTACAAAGTAAAGGGATGAACTGAAGGAGCCCCAAGATGCCTCAAAGGCAGGGCTTCCCATTCAGGTGCTATGGTGTTTTTCAGACTTGAGGAAAAATTGGTGCCGGCATTCAACGTCATTTTATCTGGCACTGTGCTGGGAGCTAAAACTTAGGAATGCAACACTTCCAATCCATTATAACTTGCAAAAAAAAAAAGTGCCCAAATCTCATAAAGCGTTCAAAAAGAAGGGAAAAAAAATCCTTTCTACAAGACTACAAGCTGAATACATATTGCTCTGTACCACTAATTTACAAAGTTCTCTAAAAAAAGGAC